GGGCTAGCCTCTAGATCTGGAGGGAATTGTGTACCTCCAGGGATTGTTAGTTGCTTATTTTTCAATTTTCTCACTTAATTTAGGCCGAATTTGGGCTGGATCCCTGAATATCAAGTATTTTTGCATCTCCTGGCTTGGTAATGTATGTGCTTTGAAATATTTGTTGCGGTTGCTCATAAGGAGCTGCTGCTGATGTTGTACTTATGGATTCATGCAGGTAACACCGGACTGGGTTTTACTCCACATATTATTTCTGTAGCTGCTGGCGAGGTATGGAAGTACTCTAGTGATAGTATTTAATTGTCCTGTACATGTCATTAGCATCTGCTAGTTTGAAATCCTTTTCTTAAGCAGTATATAACACAGATTTGAAATTGGGAGGACTCATATTTCGGTTACACTGAGAGTCGACCACACATTTTTTGTATGTTTGTAAAAAGGAATGACAATTTTTTCTTCCCTTGTATATGTTGGTCCAGCCTAGTCAATTCGTTCATTGTTTCCTGACCATTGGGTGCTTAAGTGTATACCTTTGACTTTGAAATGGTCCATCTTATATACATGCACCTTTTGTTTAGAAAACTGTTGGTAATCCGTTGTCATTGATATGTTCTTCATTCCATTTAGTGATGCATCGTGCACACATATCGGAAGTTGCCTGTCCTTGTGAAGGATTATTTTTGTTTCGAGAATTTTGAGTTTTTCACTTGTCATCAACGTGGTTCTCTTGCGAGAGTGTTATGAGTCGTTGGGATGAGTTGGTTCTTGGCACATAAATATATTGGAGCCTTAAATCATTTAGGGTTCTTGTTGGTGAATCCTCTTAAGTCTTAGTCTTATCAATTGATACATGCATCCATTTTGCACTTGTCAAAATCTATTCAATCTTCTTTAAATGTCGACGGTAAGGAGTGTATGGTAATAAATCTATCATCAACTTACCTTCCTTAAGTTTAAAAAATAATAATCGACGATTCTGAGTTATTTAAGCTTAAAGAAGTACATCTAATGTGCATTATCACTTGGGAGTATGATGTACTCTAGGAGTACCCTGGTCGTTACCAAATGTATATGTATAATCAAAGAGCAGTACATCGCAACGTTTTGTGTGGTCTACTTTTGGCCAGCCAGTGATGAAATCTAATATTTACTCTTAGAAATGTAAGTTCATTCTGTTTATCTATCTATTCTGCAGGATGTTGCCCTCAAAATTAACATGTTCATGCAACAAAGTAAGAGTGAGACATGCATTTTGTCTGCATCTGGTGTAATCTCAAGTGCATCGATTCGCCAGCCAGCAACATCAGGAGGCAACATCACTTATCAGGTATTTGACATTGTCTTCTTCTAACTCTCATAGTTGATGCACATTAAGCTCACATACAGGAGGACATGGATAAAGAGAAGTTCAGAAAACACACTGTTATGATTCCTTGAAAGGATTTGCTTACCATAAGATAGTAATACAGGCCGAGAGAAAAGTAGTGTTTAGTAGCTTGGGTGCCCAAAGTGCATCGCTAGATCATGGGGTTTTAACTGTCTCCCACGATCTCTGTTGGTTCACTGGTTAGTGTGGGATCTGGGTGACTGAAATCCCTTTTCATATACCTGTGGGCTGTGGCCTGTCCTTGCTAGTGTAGCACATGGCAGTTTGACTTTTAGCAGAACAACAACGCATGTTCAGAACATTCCATTTTATAAATTGGAATAGTTCTTGCTTTTTGAGTTGTCAAACGTGTCCTTGGATCCCAGTATAGATTCAGGCTTGAACATTTACTCTGGTGGAACCGTGAATTTATCTTGCCTAGCATCCAACATCCTTGGTCCTTAACAATCATCTATATTTGATACAGTGGGACAGGAAAAAAAATGAAAAGAACTGGTCTTGTGATCATAGTTCCTTTTGTTCGTTAATTTTCCTATCTTATAACATCTGGAGAATGGAAAAAGCAAAAAGACACCGATGCGTGGTGCCCGAAAGTGGGGTCTATGTTTGTTTAGAATACTCGGAAAATTCTTACAAGTGTTAACTTAGACCTTTTTAGATGGATGGATGTTAACACAAACTGGATGTAGCTGCTGATGGCAAGTCATAAGATGATGATGATGTACCTGATGCTCTCCTGCAGGGTCGGTTCGACATCATTTCACTGGGTGGATCTTATATAAGGTCCGAAACTGGAGGTAGAACTGGTGGGCTCAGTGTGTGTCTGTCTAGAACCGATGGCCATATTATTGGGGGAGGACTTTGTGGACCTCTAATTGCTGCCGGTGCTGTTCAGGTATATGAACCATTATACTTGGGACCAACTAACTGGCCTGTCTGGCTGGCTGGTTCTTTATTTTTGAGTGTTTGTAAGAATTTTTCTTGAAAACCACGGTTGAGTCTTGCTGCACAGGTAATTGTAGGAACATTCACTCTTGATTACAAGGACGGTGGTGGTACTAGTAATATGAGACCAATAGATGCTGCTTCTACTGTTGGTAAGTTGCCATCTCCGGTTGGTGGGGGACCATCCTTATCGGGCATGAACTTCCCTTCCCAAATTGAATCTACTGGGAGAAATCCAGTACGCGAGAATGATGACAACCATCAAACCATGGGAGGAGGCCCACCTTTCATGATTCACAATCGGGGGCCGGCTATGCACCACATGGCATTGGATTGGAGGAGTGGCCCAGATCCTCGGGCTGGCGGCACTGGTTATGATTTGACAGGTGCTGATGATGACTCTTCCTTTGTGTTGAATTCTTAGAGTTTCCAGTGAGATAGATGGAGAGAAATTGGGACTGAGATGTAAAATGTTCATTTTTTGGGGTTTGGTTTCAGGAAGAACAGGTCTTGGAGGGCACCGGTCGCCTGAAAATGGCGACTATGATCAAGTCCCAGATTAGGTTTTTGAGGAGGTTTTGCGTGTTGAGAAAGTTGTGCTTCTTTTGCTTCTTTTCTGACTGTTGCTCTTTCCGCTCTCGTCGTCCTCCTCCTCTTCTTTCATCTTTTTTTTCTCCTTATATAGGTACTTTGACATGCGAAAGCACATGTACAAGTTTTTGAATCCTTTCAGGAACCCAAAATCTTGCATCTGTACAAAAGAAAGTTACAATGTTTTACCTTGAGAAACAAATATTGACCTGACCCCACCTGGGAGAGGATTTCTAGCTCAATTTTGATCATATCATGATCTTCCTGAATGTGTATAAAAGCAATAGTATATTCTAGTGCACACCTGATGTTTGATGAAATGCTCGATTGGGAGTCTTTCTTCCCCAGATGTACCAATACGATAGAAGCTCTGGATAAGATGAATGCGTCTAACTGGTTGAAGATCTTGGCCGGAGAAGCATAGCAGCTGGGGCAAATGGCCATGGAGGCTAGCTGGAGGAGTAGCAACAAAGGCAGGCTATCATTATGGTCGCATTGAACTAAAACGTAACCCTAATATGGCGACGGAACATTGAGGGGGAAAAATCGTGCATAAGCAAATGAAGCAAAGAGATTCACCAAAAAGAAGGAAAGGAAAATGCAATGAGCAGACAGAAATTCCGATTCTTAACTATGTTGTATTTCACATCGACTGCATTGCCGAAAGAAGAATGATTACCGTAAAATCTCCATTTTTCTGAAGCTGCCAAATTCGCCGGAGAAAGGTTTCTGGTTCGGAAGGGAAGTAGCAGGGGGTTGTCTCCTCCTCTTTCGACCAGAGAATCTGCTCTGCCCGTTTCTTCGTTGCCGTAGCTCCTTTTCTTGGGCCGCCTGAACCTGACACAACAGAAGCCATCATCATCCGCAAAGCGCACGATTCGCTAAATGGGGGGAAGTAATGGTCCACGGCCACGCACACCATAGCTGAAATGCTTCCCTAGAATCGAGGCTTGCCTTTGGTTTTTCTTTTTTAGGGTGCCAAAACGTAAGACCATCTTTAGACTTGGTGGGTTGTAATTCAAAAAAATTGGATTAAGACCATTTTAGTGGGGGTTCAGAGGAATTTTACAATACTATATAGTATTGGTGTTATAAGTTTTTGTCTTTATGTTGAAATTGTACATTTATCGTTATGGTACAATTTCAACTTGTACATATACATTTTGTACAAATTCTTTTATGGTACAACTTATTGTACCTTTATGTGATGGAACAATTTCAAGTTGTAAAGTTGTACCATAACATAATTGTACAAATTTCTTTATGGTACAACCTAAACTTATACATTTAATGTTATGGTACAACTTCAAGTTGTACATTAAAACATCAATACTATATAGCATAGTAGAAGTGATCAAAGGAGGAATTTTACAATACTAAAAATTCCTATTGATCCTAAATTTGGGTTCAATTTTGGAACACAAAATAAGTCCAAAAGAAGGTGGGACCACAAGGGGGAGGGGGAACAGACGCTTCGGAGGGGGGGGGGGGGGGGCGCATCGCATGCGCGCCAGTCGCGTGCTCCACCAATCCTGTCCAGACGTCTGCTACACACGTTACACACGCGACGACTCTCTCCGAACGGCTCTTTAAGCCCCAACAACTATTTTTTGCCCAATTTTTCTATAAATACAACCAATTCCTTCACTTCTACTTCATCACTTTCATTTTCTTCCTCTCAATTCTCTCCAATTTTGTGTTACATGGATTTCCCGAATTATAACTTCCATGCAACGTGTCTCTCACGAATCGAACAAAGGAACTCGAAAATGGCTTTAGAACGAAGAGAAATAGACTTAGAATGAAGAGAAATGTAGAGAATTGAAGACTACTACTAAGCTACTTGGGTTCCAATCTTCTCATATTATTAAATGAAAGACACGATACATATTTACAGGCATACAAAACCTCTACCTTCTCCTATCTAGAACATGTAACCTTTCCTACAAGGAAAAGATAACCAAATCCTAAACATACTAGAAAACAATCATAATGCTACTAAGACAATTAAACAATAATAATATCCCAAATAATACGAAATACTAACTAATTAATAAAACTACTAAAATAGATGAGCCCAGAAATTCCTAGATTATTATGAATGGCTCGTATCGTAACAATCCTCCCCCCTTAAGCGCAACCTTGCCCTCAAGGTTGGTCATCTTCATGGATGAACCAACCCTCCTCTTTCTCGTTGCGCGCTCCAATAATAAGCAACACATTCTTGTTAGGGCAATGATGACCGATTGTGAAGCGTTCATCAAAATGAAAACAGAGACCCTTGGCCCTGCGTTGCGCAACTTCTTCCGGTGACATCCTGCAAGCATTAAGATTGCGCGGCAGACCTGTTCGAGCGGCGGCGCTCCTGTCTCTTGCTCGGCTTCCATCGTTGCCGCGTTGGAGGATTCCACGACAATCCACGATGTTTGACCAGCTCATCATTTTTCACCTAAGCAAGGCAAATTGCATCTCTTACCGTTGTTGGTCGAAACATGCGAATAGCGTCGGCTATGTCCAGTTTAAGACCGCCCACGAAGGACCCCACATGAGCCTCCTCCGGCCATTCATAGCAGCGATTCCCCAATTTCTCAAATGTCAAAAGATAGTCATCGAGGGATCCAGTCTGCTTAACTTCGCCAAAGCTTCATGACTGGAGGTGCTTTCCGATGACCCAAATCATGCCCACAACTCTTCATAAAATCGTGGCCACGTGATCACCATGCCAGACGCCAGGTAAGCTCGATCGAGCCAGTGTCACCACTGGTTTGCGTCTCCTTCCAGATGAAAAGACGCTAGAGGAGCCTTGTAATCTTCGTGTGTTCCCTGAAATTTGAAGAATTGTTCCACGTAGGCAAACCACCCGGAAGGATCTTCGGTTCCATTGAATTTTGGAAATTCCAGTTGAGCTTCTTTGGGCCGAAAATACCCGGGTCGATCATCAGTTCAATTCGACCATCCACCCCCTTGATTCCATTCTCCGCCGGTTCGACTTGTTGGTCCGTTCCCCTATCCTCCATTGGGCCCATCTCCGCTCATTGGGCCTGTTGGCCCGCCACCCGGTCTAGATGGCCCTCCGCTCCATCCTCCATGATACCTTCCCGGCCCGACCAATGGCCAGCCTGCGTCCCCCGGCCTAGTTGGATTTCCCGAACCCAGCCCTTGTGCGGCCCACCTGCCTGGTCCGCCAGCCGCGGTCCCGCACCCTAGCCCAGCTGCGAATGATTCCTCTCTGACCATTCTAGGTCGGCCCACACTCGGCCCACCCCGCTGGTGCATTGTGTGAGGGTCCCCAATGCAAAACTAGGCCGATCCCGTCCTTCCCGGTCCTAGACCCAGTATACCTAGCCCTCCAAGTCGGCATGTCTTCTTTGAGTTAGCGCCTCCTTCTTCCGCCATCTGAACCACTGAGACATGAGGAGGTCCTCCCGCGTAGCCTCCTGCCTCGTCGAATCCCGCTCCGACCATGTACCCCCACTCCGGTCTGACCGTAACGCTGCCTGTCTTGCCGCCAGCTTTGGTGTCGCCGCCTTGATCCCTGGTCGATGGCGAAGTTTCATCCACGATCTTGACCTCATCGTGATATGGAACAGGTTTCTTCAGTTTCGCTTCGGCAGTAAGGAGTGCAATTCGTTCCGGTGAGGAGTCTACGAGGTCTTCGTTAACCTTGTTCCCTGGGTTGGTCGCTCCTTTCCGCTCGGCGAGGAGGAGTCCGATCATTTCCTTTAGATTGACGTACCTTTCGTCGACTCAAGCGTGGATCTCATTCGTCCGAGCTTGAATTTCGGCTACGGTATTAGCTAAGCCGTCGATTTTGCGCTCAAGCTTTTGATCAACCCCCTTCAGCTGCTCGGTAAGTTGATTGACTCGTCCTTCGAGGGTTTCTATCCTTCCCTCCTTTTCCTGAACTCGAACAACGGGATAGGTTTCTGTCTCATCGATGTTGGTGGCTCGGGTTTTGCCCATCATTTGCTCTGGTTGTCAATCCTGTCGGCGTGCGATGATGATGTTGGTAACCTGTAACCTTGTTGTTGAGCAACCAGGCTCTGATGCCAAGTGTTACGTGAATTTCCCATATTAGAACTTCCACGCAACGTGTCTCTCACGAATCAAACAAAGGAACTCGAGAATGGCTTTAGAACGAAGAGAAATGTAGAGGATCGAAGACTACTACTAAGCTACTTGGATTCCAATCTTCTCATATTATTAAACGAATGACACGATACATATTTATAGGCATAGGAAGCCTCTACCTTCTCCTATCTAGAACATGTAACCTTTCCTACACGAAAAAGATAACCAAATCCTAAACATATTAGAAAACAAACAGAATCCTACTGAGACAATTAAACAATAATAATATCCCAAATAATATGAAATACTAACTAATTAATAAAACTACTAAAATAGATGAGCCCAGAAATTCCTAGATTATTATGAATGGCTCGTATTGTAACATTGTGATACTCATCTTCTTCTCATAAAAAAATCTCTTTCTCCCAAATGCCTGATTATGTCTCAAAGCAATAGCCCGCCGAATTGGAATGAGGTCAAAGATCAAGGTTTGTGCAAAGCATGGATTGAAATTTCAGATGACGGTTCCGTTAGCCATTATCAATCTGGGCCTGAGTTTTGGAGGGGATTTGGGTAGTATTTGCCGAGAATACCACGAGAATTCCACATTCTGATAGGTCTGCAAAATCGATGGAAGACCATACTTAAGTTCTGTGGTGCCTGTAATGCGGCATCGAGGAGAGCAAGCACAACGCCAATGAGTGGAGAAAGCCTCAACGATGTGGTGAGTGAAGTTTAATCAAAGATTATTATGCAATTAATTTGTTAATTGATTAGATTGTTCATATAAGTTAAAAATAATTTGTTAAAATTGTATAGGTTGAACGAGCTAAAAATATTTACATGGCAGACATCGGAAAGCATTTCCATTTGCAGAATTGTTGGGAGATTTGTCAAAATTGTCCAAAGTTTCTTTAGCAATTTACTACACTTGTGCCGCCCATTCCACCAATAGGTGAATCTTCATTGGGTTTCCCATCTGACGAGAGTGATAGCCCCGATGTTCAACCTACTCCTTTTGTGACCAATTGTCCCGAAGGTCGTGATAAGCAAAATAAGAAGAACAGAAGAACTCCATATTCTTCCTTAGAAAGTTGGGACAAAAATATGGCCAATTTGGTGGATAATTCGAACACACACATGAGGCTAGCACTCGGTAGAGAGGAACGCGAAGTTGAAAGAGAAGCAACAGATAGGGCAAGGGAATTAAGAGAGAAGAATAGGCATGAGATGATGATAATGAATAAGATCTTTCTCAAATGAGTCCTCGATCTTGGGCTTGGTAGCAGAGTTAAAAAAATGACATTGTGGCTTCTTACCAAGATTTCTTGATCTCAATATGTAATCTTTATGTAGTTTTGTGGTATGTTTGATGTACGCTTTTCCTTGTAATTTTCATGCAGTAGATTTATGTTTGATGCATGCTTTTCTTCAATTGTTAATGCACATACCTTCTTTATCGGCTTATAACAAGGAGATACATTAAGATAACGAGGAAATACATTAAGATAACTTAGGAAATACATTAGAATAACATAGGAAATACATCAAGAAAACATAGAAAATACATCGAGCAAACATAAGAAATATATTAGGAAAACATAGGAAATACACAAGAAAATATATAAAATACATTAGGAAAAAAAGGAAATACATTAGGGTACCACTTTCTTTATTTTGACACACTCGATGACTACTCTTCTCCATGTATAGTCCACAAATGCTCAATCAAGTTGTTCTACAATGCATGATGTCTTTGTCGATCACAAATATTGTTATGCCTTGCCATGTACTCCATGAGAGTAGGAATGTTATGTTCGGGACGGCTAGGGCCCCTGAAAATGGCCCATCTTTGTTGAACTATGCCAAAGGACCTCTCAACATCCTTCTGATAAGTCTCTTGACACCTTGCAAACAACTTATTTTTCGGGTTACTTGGATTGCTGATAGTCTTCACAAATGTAACACGCTCAGGATAAATTTTGTCAGCCAGGTAATAACATTAATCATAAGTACTATCATTTACTTCATAACTGACCTTGGGAACCAGTCCTCGAACTGCTTGATCAAATGATGGGAACACTCTTAGATTGTTGATGTCGTTGTTCGATCCAAGTGTTTCAAAGAAGGCATGCCAAATCCATGTGTCGTATGACGTCACAGCTTCGAGGACAATGGTTGATTTCTTCTAGTTCCCAGTAAATTGTCATGCCCAACAAGTTGGACAGTTCTTCCACTCCCAATAGAACCAATCATACACCCATAAAGCCACATTGTGTAGCATGATGAAGGAGGTGACAAGTATCATCTACAGCTGGTGCACCCAAGTATTGAGCACCAAAAATGTTGGTGATAGCCGAGTAGAATTTCCTCAGACAAACAGTATAGTGCTCTCAGCCATTAATTCGACAGGACTCATCCAAAGAGTCTGCCGAGCATCCATAGGTAAGCATGTTGAATGCAGTAGTAAGCTTCTGATGTGGGAGAATGATTTGCGACCCGCAACATCCATCCCTTGCTTGAAGTAGTCATCATACTGAACAACATCGTTCATGACTCGGTTGAACAAGCCAGGGGGCATCCAATATCGCTTTGGGTTGAAGTAGTCTTGCATCAAGCGCCTGTGACCGTCTTCCTTGTTACATCTCACTATTTTCCGTGTTGATGAATTCCCACGAGATTCACTTGCTTGATGTTGGTGAGGATGGTTTGCATACATCATAAACATCTCCATGCGTTCACGCTCAAGTTGACACCCATACTCCCATTGCCTATCATCAGCTTCTTTTTGCCTCTCGTAAGCTTATCTTTCCATCTCATAAGCTTCTCTATAAGGGGAATCCATGAAGGCGAAATAGTTTTGCGTGGCTAGATAGGAGAATTGAGGATCAATGATTTTTTTCCAGGAAATAAGGTTGAATAGTGAATGAGTTCAAAGACCAAGTTTGGTGGTTCATTTATAGAAACCCAAATTGATTCTTTCTCGGTTGATGGCACAATTCATAATGATTAAAGCTGAATGAACAGTTATTGGCACCCATCATTATCAATAAAACCGAATGAATAGTTGATGACACAACTCATTTTGATAAGCATGTGATGAATCCATGACTATCTGAAACAATAATGTTGTGTTTGTTATTAATTACGTCATAATTACAAATAAAATTATTTTTTGGTCAAAATTCAAAAAAATTATCAAATTTTTTGTCTTAATTAATTATTAGTACCTATATAAAAATAATGAATTTTTTTTGTAATTATAATGATGAAATATACACAAAACTGGATTATGAGTTAAAGTGCAAATCTGGAAATTTGTATTATAGCCCCAAAATTTGGACTTCTGGATCCAATCACTCAACAGGTCCATATCTTGTAATTCTCCTTTACATAATACGGGGATCCTCCATGTTCCCACGCTTTTCGAATTTTCCACTATGGAGAAGTTCCATTTTGTTCCATTACCGTTGGCGCTAAGATTTCATAAAGTTAAACACGATGCGAGATTCCTACAATACTCAGACTCAGTTACTTTAGGGTTTTCTATTCCCCTCCGCCAAATGTTGTTTTACACATTAAATTTTTAAGAAATTTGAAAATATACTAGTTGGCAAGGCACTACTTCCTCATCGATGACCATTGTTAAAATATCTCGTGTACAGGGACGGAGCCAGGATTTTGATTTAGGAGGGGCCAAAATATAACATTTGTATTAGAAAGGAAAAAATTGATAGAATTCAGTCAAATTTATAATAAACCTAAAATTTCTTCATAGAAATGAAAATATTTCACAAAAATATTCATATATTACATGCATAACATATATAAACACGGTTAAAATATTATATACTAATTTAAATTCAATGTTAATTATTTGGAAACTCATATAAACAGTGTAATCTAGATATACAAAATAGAAGATTTAATATATAATTTCTGTTAGTATATGATATAAAATTCACTATTAAATCTCTCACAATAATTTGAGTTATTGACATCCTAAATTGGTAATTGGCATAATATCATATTCTTATGTAACAGAAAGGTCTACTATTCCAATCCTAACAACCTCAATTGTTAAGCACATAGTATTTCAGATGTGTGAAACTTGAAGCACATGTTAATGACTTTCGTTTGAGAAGGTGTGCTAATATGTGGTATCATATCCACTATTGAATCTCTTGCTACAACTTATATTTCTATAATCAACTGGGTTCTTACCATGTCGATCAAATTATGGTTGACATATTGATAATGTATGGCAATAAATTTAACTAACAGTTATAAAACAAGAAAAGGAAACTCATGATTACATACTCTATTCTTCACTGAATTCAAGGTAAACGATGCACCATAATTAATAATACGTGTATAGACTTCCCCCCACCACACATCTTTAATTAATAGCATGTAAAAATATTAATTATAGTGGACTAGAGTAGCAAACTGATTGAATTAAAATTATTATAGTTTTCTTTTAGGCGTATAAAATGAAGCAGAATGTTGGGTTTCAATAGAGTTCTTGCTAATTATGAGTAAAGTAACAATTTATGAGGGTTTCCACTAAGCTAGACCAAGAACTTCCACCAAAACTACCTTCCATATATATATATAAACTGACTACCAAAATATTTAGGGGGGGGGGGGGGGGGGGGGGGGGGCATGGGCCCTCCTCCCATAGAGCTGGCTCTGTCCCTACTCGTGTGTAAATATTTTAGCCCCTCATCCAAATTTCAGACTCCTCTACTGTTAAATCTCATTGGAGTTGACGATCAAAACCAGGCCGACCTCCTAAATCTTCATTCCATGTGTGATGCTCACCAAGGAATCACATGAAGCACAAGAAAGGGAGGTTTGAGAGATGTCAACAAGCTCGTTGTTTGGAGCTTCTGATATTTCACATGGAACAATGTTGGGAGATACGCCATCTAGAGGGATTTGCAACATGTTAGCGATGATTCACCATGAGAGAAGGATTGAGGTTCATCTACAATGTTGTGATTTCTAGACTTATTATTAAGTTTAGGGATCAATTTGTATTTTGCGAACCCGAGTTTCAAGTTGTTAGGATTGGGTCAGCGTGTACTTAAAAGGGAAGAGAGATTATGAGAATTCCCTAACTG